AGCACCTTGATGATATAGTCATATATCACTGATGCTGGATCTCGTAGCCCAGCCACTCTCAAACTATTTGGTTTGGGGGTGATCATATATCTTCTACTCTTCCTTGAATGACTTATAGATAATATTGATACTTGACATATGGGAACCATAATATGTAAACACTTTAAGTTTAGCCATTGAGAATTATGAGAGCTTTAGACAATCATTGCAAGGGAAAAAATGTGAAGATAACATGGAAGACACCTTGATGAACATTCCCAGCATAACTATATGAATAGAAGAATTTCCTAAAGCAATACTGTTACGTGAAGGAGCATGGATGGTGGGCAGTTAAAAATAGCAGATGTCACTACAAAGGTCTACACCCTTGGTTATTATGGGTATTAAAAGAGTTAATATGTGTTAACTGCTTAGCACAAAGCCTAAATATAGCAAGTGTTTAATAAGCAGTAAGTGTTATTAGTAAGCATGATTCTAGATAGTTCAAATATCATCTTCCTCTCGAGTACTAACTGCTCTTCTTTCTAAGGAATTATGAGTAATTATGAAAAATGGCTGTGATTGTGGAAAAATACACAGACACACACACATACAGAAACACACACAGCCTAGGGCTACTACAGTTTATTTAAAAGACAAAAGTCTATAGCTCCGTTCCACTCATAATAATTGTATCAAGAATCTGTATGTATCTGAAATAGTGAAACATATTCCACCAGCTATGGGAACCAATAGTTGAAGAAGTGTGGCTTTTCTTCCAAAGTTCAGAGTCAGACCTTGCATTTGTTTATATTTAGGGAAAGACATGGACAAGAAAAATAACAAGCTACTAAAAGAAAGCCTTGGGTTTTCTGAGAGTAATTTTGAATCATATTGTTATTACTTTAGGATGTGATCCTAAGGGCATACCATCCAAAAGCCTTGGTTTGTAATTTTTGGAATTTTTTTAGTTGGCAGGGACAGAAGTAGTTAAAAAAAAAAAACCCTAAATACAGTGTTCTTAATCCTGAGTCTTTTGCAATTCAAAGCTTGCTGCCCCTGGCAGAGCAAGTATTTCTGAAACTACACAATGTTCTGTGGCAGGAGTGGCAGAGTTGGGTGCCAGATTCTCCATTTAAACATTGATTGGACAAGGAGGGAACTGAGATGTCTGTAATTGCTCTGGGAGTTTCATTGGCTGTGGCTGTAAATGGTGACAATGAGGTTTGAGGGACAGAACGGAAGGGGCTGAGTTCACATAAGACCCACACCGAGTGTCTGGACCCAGAACCACTGGAAGCGGATCATCTTCCAATGATTTTTTAAGCTCTCTTGGCATCTTCATGAGTATATGTTTCTTTATCACTCTTCATGGCAGATGTAACCAGAAATGGTGTTGGTACCATAAAATGAAGGTAATGAATTATCAGTAACGAAGAACATTTCTAATGGGGGATGAGTCATTAAAGATACAGTGCATAGGCAGATAGCAAAATTATATAAATTGGGCGTGGCTACCAGACTTGGCACTGCTGTCATTGATCAATTGATGGATTGATTGAATGAGTTAGTTTTAGCTAATATTTATTGAGCATGTACCATAGACCAGGAACAGAGCTTCACTTTTAACATTACACTTAAATCACATGCCCAGCTGATGACAAGACACTGTGTATTCCAATTTATGGATGAAAAAATTGAAACTTGGAGTGGGGGAGTACCTTGCTCTCCCAGGTCACTGACTGTAAGTGGAGGAGTTGGGATTCACAGCTGTGCTCTGTCTAGAGTCAGGCTCGGTCTTACCGCACTCTGATAGATTGCCTCTCACTCAACCTCCTCTGAGTCTAGCAGCCATTTATAGGAGCTACTGGCAAATGTGCTTCTGTTGCCTGGGAAGAACATTCTATTCATCCATATTCATATAGAAGATCAGCAGAAAACAAATTTCTGGGAAGTGGGGCACAGGGACAGTTACCTGGGGGAAAGGGAGTGAGAATGTGGAAGAGTGTTTGTGTGGGGTCCTCAGTGGGGGATAGACCCATTTGGGGGACAGAAGTGGAAGTGGTGATGGGGAAAGAGAGTGGGGCTGGGGACAGTGTCGCCCAAATCACAGGGGAGAGAACTTGTGTAGTATTGGAGGATGCAGGGGGGAGCTGAGAGGAAAATAGCAAATATCCTTCAACCTCAGAGTCTAGTACTTTTCTTGAAAAAAAATTTGCCTCATTTCTTTGGCCAATAAAATTAAAGTAACTTTCTTAGAATTAAGTGAAAGATTCCACTAATATTACATTAATGCCTTTTTGGTGTCTATTGGAGTTATGCATTGTTTTCATACATGTGCTCAATGACCCTTTTAAACTTTATTGCCTGGCCTTCAGTTCTTGAGACAAGCTCACTAGATTTTCATTAACTCACTGATTTTCACTTAATATTAGGGACCAAAGCTAGTCACGCCAAATATGGGCCATTCTGCAAGGTCCTTATAATCAAGACACCAACAGTTAATTTCCAACTGATTACACTTTAGAAGTATATTCTCAACTTCTTTTTCATTACCACCCTCTAAGGAGTTTCTTAGACATTTTTTTTTTCCTAATTGCCCTTCTCCCATAAAATTTTAATACCACAGATATACTGTTTATTTGTTTAAGTACTGTGGGCTTTTGGCAGGTCACAAACCATTGTAATATCTAAGATTCTTCCCTTTGCTGCCCAAAGCAATTTTTGCTGCCTTGGGGGTGGTGTCACCCCCATAGATAATGTGTGCTTTAGAACTATCAAACAATGATTGTGGCCCTTCCAAAAATGGCGTTTGCCTCTTATAATTGCCTTCTGCATTAGTACAGTTACCATTTATTCCCTTACCACCTCCCTTCCCTAAACAACTAGAAGTGGACCTCTATAGGGGCCCATCACAGCAGAAAACTCCCAGAGAGTATGCTCACCATTTCTGTAACACGAATAACGGTGCTCCAGGATACAATTGCCGGCTGCAGTTGCTGGAAATGAAATGCACACTTCAGTCATGTCTAATTGAAAAACAGTGTGTTTGAAAATTCTTTTTCTATTAACATTAAGGAGGAGCAGTGGTTGAAGCATCTCCCTGTCAAGTGTAGAATAAAGATCAATAATGTGGTTTCAGGCACCTCCCTGCTACTGTCAATTAAGTGAAATTAATTACCTAATGTGGTTTTTCTACTGTTCTTTGCTGTGTCCGGTATTTCTATGCCTAGTATGTCTATTTCAGAAAGGATGTTGTCTGGAAATACTAAGCATATGGGTTGTCATGTGTATTAGTTTGCTAGAGCTGCCATAACAAAGCACCATAGACTGGGTGGCTAAAACAACAGAAATTTGTTTTCTTATAGTTCTGGAGGCTAGAAGTCCGAGGTCAAGGTGTTAGCAGGGTTGAAGTTCTAAGAGGCCTCAGTTTCTTCTGAGGCCTCTTTCCTTGGCTTATAGATGGCTATCTTTTCCTTGTGCCTTCACGTGGTTGTCCCTCTGTGCATGTCTGTGTCCTAATCTCATCTTTTTACAAGGACACCAGTCATACTAGATTAGGTTCATCCTAATGACCTCATTTTAATTGAATTACCTCTGTAAAGATCCTATCTCCAAATACCAGTCACATTCTGAGGTACTGGGGGTTAGAACTTCAACATATGAATTTTGAGGGGGACACAGTTCAGTCCACAACATCATGTAAGAAGGGGTATAAAGAAACCTATGTGGACCACAAATGCAGACTTTGACTAAGATGTGTTTGTCCAAATCCCGACTATGTTTCTTACTAGCTGTGTGTCCTTCAGCAACTCACTTAACCTCTCTGAACTTCAGTTTTCTTTAAAAGTAAAAAAATTATCTCTGTCCCAAAAGATTTCTGTGAGAAAGGTGTCTAATTAATAATAACTATAACTAATAAGTATATATGCATGTCTAGCAGAGCGTCTGGCTTCTAATTGCTTTTCCCCTTGAATATGGATTTGGACTTCAATGCATTGGCAATAATAAGACCAGCAAGTCAGTTAACATTAACATCAAACAGGAGAAAGAAAGAAACATTTATTGAACCACTACTATATATTGAATACTCTTATGCACATAGTTGAGCAAGTTTTTTTTTACATAAGATCTGTAGATTAATTAATTAACTCAGCAATATATATTGTGGATGCAAAATATGTACCAGGTACAGACAGCAGTCTTCTCATCGACTGTGTAGCAAGGGCCCTTCTTACTGCCCTTACCCACAGTCCCCTATATTTCTTGCAGCAGATTCCCTGGCATTGGGGAGTTTCTGCAGAATTCAATACAAAAAAATTTTTTCTCAAGTTGATTTTACTGTTGTTGCAATCAAAATTTTTTCTGCTCTCCAGAAACAGCCTTACCTATGTCTAGAGGCTGCTGTGTGGTATCTCTCTGCTGATCCACATTACTAATTCAGCTAATTGCAGCAATTACCTGAAGAAATTGCTGCTAGCAAGAGAAGCCATTATGCTGTTCCTGAACAGACTGCATTTCGCAGCATTCATTAATTATGCCAGCCTATAGATTCACAGCCACCGAATCATACACTTGAGACCTCACACCATATGCATTGAAACCTTCTCAAAGCTGCCATGCATGTCTGTGCTGACTTGCACTCTTATATTGCCCACCATTTGCAATAGCCTTTCTCTTGCCCTTCTGATTCTCAAAATTGAAATTAAAGTCAGGATAGAGTCGCCGCTGCACAATGTGCTTTATAGGGATGAGAGGCTTTCGCCTCCTGGAATCTTGTTGGGTCACTCAGCTTTTCATAAGACCCACACAGATTGTCTGGACCCAAAGACACTCACAGATACACAGGAGTTAAAAATTCTCCAATCTACAGCATGCCCTCTTTAGATAAGAGAAACAGTAATAATGATGGAGGCAGGCACAGTGGTAAGTCTTTGATGCTTTTGTTCATTGGTTTCCTTATCTCTCTCTCTTTTCTCTCTCTTCCCCCTACCCCATTATTTTTTCTTTGACATGCACAGCCAACATCAGATGACCTTGTTTCATCTGCTGAATGTTCAAGCGATGATGAAGACTTCGTTGAATGTGAGCCGAGTACAGGTAGGTTAGGTCAGTCTTGTTTTGCTTGCTTTATTTTTTCATTTGCAAAAAACAATACATACATATATGTGAATATACATGTGTTTTATATATATATTATAGTGTGTTAATGTGTTTATTTCCTATATCTATATATGTATAGGCATACATATATAAATATTAATATATAATCAAAAGCATCAAGTCCCATGGAAGGAGCCATAAAATCCCAGGGAAATTTAAAGTCAGTTCCTTGATAGCTAAAGATAAATCATGGTATATAATGCAACTTTGGGCAGTCAGACACCCAGATTAACCACCGGAACAGCAAATGTATAGCGGCCAATGGCAGCTAGGAAATTAACGGGGGGTGGGGTCATGAAGAGGTCTATATCGGAATGACGTCAAATCAGCATGAGTGGAGCCATCAAGATCATTTAAACCTCATGAATTGTTCTGAGCCCTAAGTTGCAAACAAACCCAAACCCAAAACCAACACCAAAGAACAAAAAAACATTTTCCATGGGATTTCAACAGCAGTTAACATGGTATTATATTTATACTAATTTTGTTCATTGTGTGTTTAGAGAATTTGTGCAGCAATGTAGCATAGTAAACACAAAATTAGTATTGAACCATGCCATGTCAACAGCTGAGATGCTTCAAAATGTATCTACTGTGCTGAAGTTGAAAAGACTTTGGCACTTAGAAGCTTCAATGTGTGCCCCTTTGCACCCAGATACATTTTGGTGTTTTATGGTCTTTCTTTATAGTGAGCTATGTATGACATAATGTCCAGCAGGCAACTGCAATCCCTGATTATTTCCTATCAACTTTCCCAAGTCATCTGTTTTGAGACTTGCTATAAGTTAAACATTTATATATATATAATAGAGAACAGATATCATCGAATTTCTGTGTATGTTTAACAGAGTTAAAAGCTGGAGTTGGGTTAGGATCTTATTTCTGTAAAGGCTAAGAGAAATAAATAGAATATTCTAGTGGATTCTTTGGGTTGCTTTATTTTTTTTCCTTTTCTTTAAAAAAAAGACGAGCCATTAAACATTTCCTTTTGCCAATTCTAGAGAAATTTAAGCTTCATGAAAAAATAATATAGCAAAAGTAAAAACCTTCCATTTGTTAACCCAAAATGATTTATAATTTTTCAAATTTTTTGGAAGCCTGACTGCTTGGTGTCTTGCAAGTGGCTTTGGATCCAGGAAGTTCTGTGGGTTCCCGTCCTTAGCATTACATAGGGACCTATCAGTAATATGTAGGGCCTTTCCATTCTAGAGTGTGATCTGTTCACTCGGGAGCTCAGCTGTGTGGGAGGAAAGTAACTGTGACCTAGTTAGTCAGATTTTTTCAGATTATTGGGTAATAATCTCAATGTACTAAGTGAGGTTTTAACTCTCGAGGGCAGATACACACAATCTATACCAGAAATTGGGCACCAAGTTTTCATTAATTAATTAATTCATCCATTAATTCAGTCAGTAAATATTTCTGAACACTCAGGCAGGATACCATATATCTCTAGATTTGAGTCCTTCCTATTCTAATAATCTTCATAAATGAGCTGTTAGAAAATAGAATAAGGAGCTTTACTATCGAAATTACCTTTCCAACATAATTCAGTTCGACAAATATTTCTTGAGGGTCAGCTCTGTATATTAGTTATGTGCTAGATATTAAGGATTCAGATATGACTATGGCATGATCTCCAAGACTTACGTTAAATTAACTGATTTTGTGGCCAATAGTTTAAGACACCAAGACTTTAATTTGGATTCTCTGTTTATCCTTTCTCTATTTTTCTTGCTTTCATAGCACCAATATCTGTATGTACGCAACAATATTTATCAAATCTTTAGATTTTGTCTTCTTATAAAAATTGAGGGGCTGGTCCAGTGGCGCAAGCAGTTAAGTGTACATGCTCCACTGCGGCAGCCCGGGGTTCGTCGGTTTGGATCCCGGGCGTGCACTGACGCACGGCTTGGCAAGCCATGCTGTGGCGGTGTCCCATAAAAAGTGGAGGAAGATGGGCACGGATGTTAGCCCAGGGCCAGTCTTCCTCAGCAAAAAAAGAGGAGGATTGGCAGATGTTAGCACAGGGCTGATCTCCTCACAAAAAAAAAAAAAATTGAGCCTTGGCCGTTCTGAATTATTACGGCTATCTTCCCTTACTACCTCCCTCACCCCCAACACAGTCATGTCCATAGCCACCTCCATCATAAGACAGACGACTTTTCCAGATCTCAGATTCACAAGTTCTACAGCTCCCCAGATTGTGGGTATATGTTGCCATTTAGTATTGAACATGAACAGGCGCAAACTTGAATGGCCCCAGACTAAGTCCATTTGGTTTTTAGTGGCTGCACGGGTGCTTCATCTGATTCAAAAGCAGAGGACAGAAATTCAATGCCAGCATTTCTTGAATAATATAATTACATGGAGTCAGTAGGGGGATAAAAACAATTTTGAAAACACCCTGTTGTGTTGTACAAGGGAGCATGGTAGGGAGCATATAAATAAAGTAGGTGACAGAGTGCCCACCCCAAAGGAGCTAACACGTTGCTCTAAGAGACTGATGTTGATCCCCTTTGCCTGGGATTATTCAACTCATCACATTTGAAGAATGAGCATTTCTTCTTTCTAAACTTATTCCATAAAGTCTTCCTGGTAAGTGATTCAGATACACAGGGAAATGTGTCAGAGCATATTCAATACAGGAAGGAGATAGATATTCCTATTCATGCAGAGGTTTTGCCTTGGGGACCTGATTAACTCTGAGGAAGATTACATAGAGCTATCAAGCTCTTTTGTTTGCATTATATGGGAAATATCTCCATAGCCTTCACATTTCCAAAAACAATCCAAATTAAAATCAGAAACATTTAAACCAATTGTTTCTGGAGCTAGGTTTTGCACCACCCAAAGAGAAGGCTCTCATTGCTTATGCCACAACAGATAATGGTGACATTTACATAACTTTGACATAAATTGTTAATCCTGAGATTCTATGTGAATATTGAGATTAAAATTCTGGCTTTGAAGACCCTAATTCACTGCCTCAATCTCTAAAATTTTATTCCTTTCCAGGCCTGATGTTTGATCGAAACACACTACATTTGGCTAATTACCCAGGCCTTGTTCTATCTTGCTTAACAATTACCCTGTCTTCTCTCACTCTGTTAGCAAGTTTACGATTTTCTAGCTGTCTCGGTTATAAGACATTTAACTTCTACAAGTTCTTTCCTGATTAATTTAGGACCACTAGAAGCTCTTGCTTTTCATAAATTTGGTCAGTTTAGTAGATGCTATATTCTACAATCTTTGTTTTCATGTGGACATCAAATTTTAAATGAAATTATTTTTCTTATTTAACTTGCTTGAAATCAAAATGGATTTTAAAACTGCTGGTTTTGAGTCAGATGTAAGCAATTGCCTTTCATAGCCACAACCCACTTTGGCACTGAGGGATCAGCCTGGTTTGCTGGAGCTAAGTCATATCATGTTTAGGAACAACTCAAAATTTTTTGGAGTTTGGTTGATGATGGGCTAGAAACCTTGTAAATCCAATGGATGTCAAATTTTTTCTGTATATATTCTCTGGAAAACATGTAGATGAGTGAAAACAAACAAACAAACAAAAACCACCTAAACCACGAGAACAAGGCATAGAGTGAAAGCTCAATTCGCATTTGTTGACTGAATTAGTCTGACTCTTAAAATACCTCATTATCTTAAATTAAAATTGGAGATTTTTCACACTTCTAAATTTGTCTCCCCTTAAACAGCTAAATGAAACCTGTTGAATTATTGAAAACCTATGATTTCACACAAGTAATATAGCCCTAACAAAATCCACATTTCTTGAACAAAAAGAGTTCTCTATTTTTCTGCATCCCTTCTCTTGCTGTGAACTAGATCATTTTATAATGAGTCACAGGTAAGATCACAGTTTATGAATATTTGTTTTAAGAACTCAGAATTGAAACTTTAAACTATAAAATCATAATGAAACCATCTGCAACAAATGAAAATATTCATAAGAATATTTGAATAACTATGTAAGTACTTAAAGTTGAGGGTCAGGATTTTACCTTTTCTAATTTTTAAATGTTGATTGTGTTCCCCACTAAGGAAGTCAGTGTCTATTTAATATTTCAGATTCATATCTTTGCATATAAACCCTTTCCTTCCCAACTACACTTCTATTGATATTAAACTGTACAGTAAATTTGTATTTCATTGTCCTTAACTCTTTGGATCCAACAGCAACAACAACAAAAAAATAAACAAGCTGGAGAGGATTAAAATAACCACTAGGAAATGGAATTCCCTCATGAGATTGTGGCAGCCAAATATTAATTAAGATGTTTAGTAAGTTCACTTTTGTGATCTAAAATATGGGAATGAATTCGGAAATATAGATAAATTGATGAAATTCACTTTCCATTTCTTCTCTCTCTCTCCCCCCTGTTCCTATCCCCAGTATCTCCATCTTTGGAAATAGAATAACATCAAAACATATGTGTTCTTAGATCAGCCTTTGTATAATTAGAAATTATGGACTTCCTGAATTTTATATATTTATAGTGTCAAGACTCTAAAAGTCGTGGGAGCAGGGGTCACAGAGCAGAGGAAAAAAATATAAAGAAATTTCTTTTACACGTGAGAAATGGGCATGGCAATAATTAACAACTGTAATGATTCATTCAGCCATTATCCAGGGATACATTTTTCTGGTTGTCAATTAGCCAGGTTTTTTGCCTCCACTTCTGTTAATGTTCTTTGATCAAATCTCATGGGACAGCACTCCCACCAAAGGGCAGGCAGTAAAAGGAAGTAAAGATGAAACACATCCATCCATCAATAGGACTGTGCTAACCAACTTTCATAATGGTTGGACTGAGGGAGATGTTCAAACTAATGGTAGTAATCTGATATCACAAAATAATTTCTATTCCCAGAGCGCTTCTCAGATGTATTTTTACTCCTCAAATCTACAGTCCTCA